ATTCCGTCGGGAATCCTTATTCATAGGTAATCGTAAACAGGTCTGAGACATGTGCAGATGTCTGCTGCCTGCTGCCTGGAACTCGTTTATTCTCCCCTATTGGCAATCACCATGACCCTCACCCGCAGTTGCCACAGAGCTGCACTCCCCACCGGTATCTAACTGAAATCCTGTGATCACCCCTCATTCCAAATGGATCATTTGTACAGCTCCCTGGTAATTCTTCGTATCGTATCTTCCCTTCTTTACTGTTTACTATCTCTTTTATTAGTAACATATCCTATTAGTAGCTACCTCGTTCTTCTTCCTTTTCCTTATGTAATTTTGTGTCGTGGTGATTGACAACCCGTTCGGCGTTACTTCCGGAGAAAAATATGCGTGAGTTACTTCTTTAGGTGTGTGCCAACCTCGACATCCTAGGCCCGCTACAATATGACGCACCGGCATGTAATCAATAGAGTTTTCAAAGGCATTGCCTAGTACCCTCACCAAATAAACTAAAACTGTAGTAAGAATATCTTTCGGTTAAAAAGGCTCCCTAAACTGCCGAATAATTCTAAGATCCGTCGGCCGTTACACTTGCATTGAAGGTTTCCAAACTAAGTGCTCTATAAGTTCTGCCTAAGGACAATCACACCTTCCGCTAGACTATGAGAAAAAGAGGTAACATATTGCATTGTGCTGCACACACTTTAGAGGCAACAGCCTGAGTAGTAAAATAATCGAACCATACATTTCACCAAGTATACAAAGAAAACAAAGTGAGAAAAAGGTGGACAATAAAAGGTTCAGGCGTAACTGTTCAATTAACAAAGTGTTCTCTGGAAACGGAAATACGACCGTGGAAGACCGAGGGCGGGCTGAAAGTCAGGTGCAATGGCTCCTTCCTAATGTACCCTTTATGGCGCTCCCTGTCGGGAGCATACCTAGCGAGACGTGCTGTTTGGTACGCGCGCTGAATGTTTGTCGTGCCAGCCGTCTGCGCCCTCCCACATTATTTTTTCCGGCCTACTTGACTCTGTCTTGACAACCGGAATTAGATGTGGGAGTGGTCAGAGAGTGGGGCAGACTCGGCCAGTTTGCCTTCACTATTTTTTTTGGCTACAGTCACGGCGTGCTTCAACTAGTTGAAGTCGGTAGTGGATATCGTCGAACAAGACGGTCGAATTATCGTGTGCGTGTGTTTGTGTGGCATACACGCGAAGTATGGGCTGCTTAGCTTTGCCTGTCCCGACTCCCCCAACCCGCATTCAGTCGTTTTTGCTCTGTCGGGCTCAGGTGGGTAGGGGAGGAGAAAGCATGGTAGATGCAACGTAAGTCTATTATCACTATAAATTAATTCACGCGCAAGTCGCTGTCTCTGTGCTTGCCACGCTAAAGGGCATACAGTTCACATTTTCGCTAGAGACGATCGAACAGTCGTGTCCACCAATCCAACCAATCACTAAACACACCGAGTCGAGTTAAGCACAGAATTAGAGCTATTTGTGCATCACGCAGATGAGGCCCAATAGAAAATGTGTTTTCAATTCTTTAACGCCATTTGAGCCAACGTTTGGATTTAATTTTTACGTAATATGAATGGGGTGCAATAATATGTATGGTCTTTTTTTACAGTCTTTAAACTAATATATTTTTTTCATAATACAACTCTCTACTTCCAATATTCCCTAATCTGAAAGTCATGTGCTCCTGTTCAGAAACGTTCATCCCATTTGATATTTCCTTCCTTCCTTTCTCTTAACTGGCGAAATAAGGTGACTTGGCGAATTGTACCCAAGGGTAAGATACCGACGAACAAATCCGATGTTTCAACAGGTGTTTCCACCAATTACCTGCCTAATAACTTCTAAAAATAGTAGGTGCACTTTAAAAACAGGATATAGCGTATTGAAAAGCGCAAATCCTGAAAAAAATTGACGGCTGCATCGTGGGAGATGGCAGACATACCTTCGGAAGAAGTAGTACCGCTCGCTGATAAGCATGATGCGGATCCGACCCTGATCAAACAAGTTTCGGTAACGCTCAGCCTCATTGTCGGGGAGGTACCTGGGAAAGAAGGGAGGGGGGGGTGAAATTAACTACATGAGGCCGATAAAGCAAATAGTTGCATGACCACCAACAACAGAGATGTGAAGCTCACTCGTGCACGTGACAGAAGGAAAGAGACTCCTCGCGCAACAGGTTCCTCAGTTCCTCCAGATCAAAGTAGTCTGGCACGTAGATGAGCACTCGCTGATCGATGCCCCTGCGCAGTCGCGGTAGGAGACGCTGCTTGAAGGCTGCGAGACGGGCTAGGGGCACGACGCGACCACCTAAAAAGGACAAAGGGTGTAAAAGCAATTCAGTCGAATAGGCGGCAGACAAATGAATTCACTAGTCCTACTTTCGAAGATACACAGCTGCCTGCATATATGCCAGTTTGTAACCGGCAACGACAGTGAGAACAAAGGGACAGTTTCTGAGTCATTAGTTGTCACCAGTTAACCATATCCCTACTTCGGTCCCAAAAGACCCTGGGCCGGTCAAGCTTGCCGAGTAGGCCGTTAGCGATGAACTGTAGCAGCTCAAGGCTAGGCGGCGTGGCCAGGCCAGAGA